ACCAAAAGGAACCTGACCATTTTGGGGTCCCTGATTTGTTAGCCACGACAATAGATGGCCGCTTGGGAAGCAAACGATATGGCAGTTTGAGGTAGGGAACCCTAGGTGTCCTTCTTGAAGAATTCTGGCAAGAGGACACCTAGCACCAAAAAATGGTAGAACATAGGTCATAGGTCGTTGTATTTCCCACCCTATCATTGCACCATGTTTGGACGTCAAAAGAACCGCAATGTGGAGCCTTCCATGGAAACCACCAGAAGGTTGGCTAACGGGTTGTGCTTGCAAATTTCCTGTTTGCTCCGTTGCTCCTTAGTAGATTAAACCACATGGCCACCAGTTTCTCAATTGCTCCAGCTGGTTCAAGGATTGGCTTAAAAAATGGATTTGTCTCACCCCCAAGACATGGTCCAAGCAAAGCGGGAGTCCCCAAATAAATATCAACACACATTCATGTTGAATGCACGCAATGGCTCGAGTCACTCAACAGGGGTTGTCCCACTCGTAACCATGGTTATAAACCACTAAGCGGCTCGAACATCCAAGCACCCAATGACCTGGCAGGCTGACTGGTTGGTTGGTTTCTTTCCGGCCAAACTCATTTGAGTGCATCTTTTTGTTGAGTGTTCCCTGTTCAATTGAATCCGAGTCAGCCAACGATTTATTTGGGGGTTCCCCTACTTCTATTTGGAGACAAATGCAGGTTGGGAGTTGTTCATTGCACCTCAATTGAGAATCCGAGACCACTTCAAAGGGGGCCTTATACTGGGTTTGCTTTAATTCCCAACCCCCGCCTGGATTGGAAAGATGTGCGTGAACGGCATTCAATGTCCGTCCAGCTTTTTGACTTTAAGGTTTGAAGTGGAATCTTCTTTTCCCCCCAGAAAAAGAAAAGCAATGGTCGGGCGCTGCTGGAATGTGGAGAAATCCCTCCCTCCTCGCTGGTGAACTGGTGGTCTTCAGGCCGATAGGGTTCTCGCGAGATGGCCTGCTGCATCCGCCTGGCACGACGGGTTCCTACACATATCGCTTCTCGAAACATGGAATGGCGCCGAGAGTGATGTCGGCCCTGCCTTACATCATCCGGAGGCGAACTCGACGTTGCCAGGGACGAGCCTGGGGTAGTTCATCAACGCTTCAGGACTTCTTGCTTCAGCTGACCACCATCAAATAGGTCCGATGATTGACGCATTATCGACTCCACCTGACTCTACTTAGTTACAGGCTGCGGGTGCTGACAACACAAAGAATCACCACACATAATGTTTGGTGGATGCTTTCTCTGATATCTGCGAAAACTACCATCATTCCCACTGCAGACCTGGAAAGAACAATCCAAGAAGAGGGGGGTGTTCTTGGGTGAGCTCGTTTTACCCCTGCAAAAAGTCACAGTGGAGGACTATGAGTTTCTGTGTGTCTTACTTGCGACAGGCTTGCTTGCCCGCTGGCCAAGGGATGCACACCCGCCTTTTTGCGCGTGGCGTTGACACCCGAAAATCATTGGCATTACTGGGCTTTCCCAAGCAAATGGACTTCTTCCCATTGGAGTGTGGAATGCGTCCACTGCTTGTTGGAATCAAAAAGAAAACCAAAAGGCGAGATCTGGACAAACACATACCTCCGCAACTGAAGGATCACCCCTCTCAGCTCCCATCGTCAGACTCAACTCCACCACAGCTGAAACACAAATCCTGAGGGTATCTGTTTTGAATGTGAGTTGCACCTGTCGCGGAAGCCGCGCGTCGTCTTTGACTTAGAGGATTTCGCCGCCGGCTCCTTTGTCAAGGGCGGCAGTTTCCTCCACCGTGAAGACGAAGAACACCACGCCGCCAGCGGTGACACTGTTAGTGACCGCGTCAAATGGCTTGGCATAGTTCTGCGGCATTGCCACAATGAAAAGGGTGGTTAGGGAATTTGCTCACGGTCAGTCGGTGAAAGGTTGGTGAGTGCTAAACCTCCCAAAATGGAACCTGACTGGAGATCCGGAAGACCGGAGCTCATTTGCATGTCCAATATGGGCAGCGGCAGTCAAAAGCACCCTTCTCCATGTTCCCTTGAGGTTGACTTTGGTCTTGGCTTCATAAGGGTTCGTCTCCTTGGTCGGTTTCCCAGGAATCAAATCGTCCGTTTTGAGCCAAGCCCCTTGCAATGATCCGACGACTTCCAAAGCCGCCGACATTCCCGAGGCCCCAAGCCCGCTTGCGCCGCTGAGCTTGCGGAAGGCGCCTGAAGAAACACTCGGGCTGTGGCCCGGTGCAACCCATCCATGTTCAAGCCCACGGCAGGTGGAAGGGTACAGGTGGGTTTCTATGAGGCCCCCTTTTGAGTTCTCATGACGGACACGCAAGGTCACAATTTTGCAAAGTTGGTAACACTTGTGTAAATAACAAAATGACACAAACTCTCGTGGTATGCGGGGACTCCAGCCATTCTTATTCTTTTACTCCAGACCTTCGGAGATTGGGCGCGTCGTGGTGCGTAGTTTACCTTCAATGCAAGCTCGAAGGCTCGAACAGTATCCCGAAGGAGCAACGGAGGAAACCCTTTGTCCCACGTTCAGCAAGATATGAAAAACAAGTACACAAGATTGCAATGTGGACAAATAATATTGGTATGAATTAGTTTTTGTATGTTTGAATTGGGGAATTCTTGGTGAACATCCTTGGATGCTACGCGAAGGAAGGCCCAAACGCCCCTGATGTTTTGCTGAGGTCTGTCTGGTTTTGTTGCGCTTGGGGAACACTTCATTTGCGTTTTCTTCCAAGTTTTAAATCTCAACGATGAACATCCACCAAGGGGACAGCCCAAAACCCGGTTTTCTGAAAGTTGTTGTCTGAGGGCCCTGCAAAGTGACTCCTTTGTAAAGCAAATCGAATGTCCCCAGTAAGGGAAGCTTCATCGCATGCCTCAGTCGTTTCCACGGATCAGGGAGCTCTGTATGACTTGCCCAAAAGGAGAACTTGACCCGCCGTGTCCCGTTTAGTAGCAAATCAGCTACCCTGTCTGTGTCACCCGGCAATAATTACACCCCCAGTAGCCATGGGACTGGGCATCCTTCCTTTGGTAGTTGATTATAAAGTTTGAAACCTCTTGAACATAGAAGACCATGACCAACACATCTTTCATGAAGTCAAAAAGGACAGCCACTTGCGCTACTGGCACCCCCGCACCATTGGCGCCCTGATTCTCTTCCGCGCCTGTAGCTCCTGCAACTTCTGATCTAGGACCTGGTAGGAATAACCGATTCGAAGGAAAGCCGCCACCCCCGGAAAATGTGTTCGCGGTTTTGAAAGCCCGACCCTTTTGTTTCAGATCTTGTTCTCCAGCCAGGGTTGGTCAGTGGGCTTAGGGCGAACTTAGCCGCTTTGGTTTGATGGTTTCAGGTGGGGTCCGTTTAGCGTTAGCCTGGTTCTTTAGACCAGGTAGATTGCCCCATGGGATCGGAACCAAGCTTCGGAAAAAGTAATGAAACCAACTTGGGAATGAGTTTTTAACTGGGGAGCCCTTGGACATCATTTAGGTGGGGATTCACAGCACTTTGGAGGTTCCCCACGAAAAATCATGGCCATTTCTGAAAAACTGAACACCGAAAAGCCTTTTCCAACAGCCCGCTTGGGCCCAAAGCTATGGGTTTCTGAAAGAACAATGACCACCTTTGCCATTGGTCATTGGTCTGGAGTGAAGCTAGCCAGTTTGGCTGAAGATTCGGCACTTGCACACCATCTTCTCATGTTTCACGTCTTCCTTTCGCATCCTAACAAGGAACATTTAGCCATGGGCCAAAAGCCCGTACCCCCCCAGTGAACATCCCAGTCTCCACTCAAATAGGTTCCAAAATGGGTTCTCTTCAAAAATGGGATCCCATTAGTTTTGACCCACAGCCATTTTGAGAAACTCCCAACGGGCTGCAGAAACCCGTCTGCAGGTCTCCTTCATGGACTGCTGCTCCAAGGCGTCCCAGTCCTGGTGGGTTGCCCACGCGTCACAGGGAGCGTTGGATTGGTTGGCCGAACTTGTTCACCATCCTGGCTGGTCTGAAAGGAAGGCCAAAACAGGCAATTTAAGAGGCCAAATAATCACACACCTGGGTTTGATGATGGCTTAAATTGGTTTCAGCCTACCCTACAACCCCATTCTTATGTATGTCGGCCCTTAGATTACTTTAAAAAAATGGGTAGGTGACTATGCCTCACAAGCCGCAAACAACACTTTTTCCAGATATTTTCATCGTAAGCTCTTTTGTCCGCCGCTGAACTCGCCCAGGACATGGACCGAAGGGTTGTGGACCACCATGGCAGCAGGCACCCGCTTCCACGATGTGCGAATGAAGGGTCGTAAAAAAGCGAAAACCAATCAAATGCAAATGGGCAAACGTGGCTGGTGCGGAAACACAGGAAACCCAGCAAGGAAATGGCTGGTCAAAAGGGCACAAAAAGGAATTCCAAATGGCCAAGATGTTGGTGCTGCGGCTAAAGTGGCTGGTCGAGGGGGAAATCTGGGAAATCCAAACCTGCAACGTTATCACCCCTGCAAAAAGTGAAGGCTGGTTGCCGGTGAAAAGGGGCAATAGAGAAACCCAACATTGCAACAGTTGCGAAAGCGTCCGGTCAGGTTGAAACAGGCTAGGCACAAGTCTGGCAATCTGGCAAGTGATCATGCGCACCGGCCAATGGCCCAGTAACTCTGAACCTGGCACCAAAGCGAAACTGAATCCACGTTAAAGTTGAGCTGGAATTACAACTGGCGACATTATCTTACCCTCCCAGAATCAGAAGACAAAAAAGCACCTCAGCTTTTGGCTGGACTTCCGAACTCGCTCGTTCCGAAGGGTGCTGAACAAAACCAGTTGCGACCAGCGACAAGCTAAAGATTTCAATCCCGACAAAAAGATCACGGGTAATGGCAATGAGGGGTTGGATATGTACTCTCTCCTGCTCGTAGTCAGGCGAGGAAGCCTCTGAAGGGCCCGACATCGTAGCGCGTGGAAAGGAAACCAGAGGAATCGTTTTGTTTCTAACAGTTCAGGTTTGGTAATCTTGCGGCGGGAGCCTTTCTTGCTGCTTCAAACCCACTTTCTGTTGCAAGAGGAATTTCAAATTGCTGGTTTGCCGGTAGATGAGAGAGATCGCTGTGCTATTCTGCTCACTTGCTCAGATGCTCATCCTGGTGAGCCAACCACTGGGGCATCACTGCACCAACCTCAATTGGATTAATCTCAAGGAACCATTATCGTGTGGCCCCCGTAATTGCTCGTTCTACCTCAATTCACCCGAGCAAAGCAACAATATAGCGCTGGAAGAGCCTGTTGCAGGGCATCTGCTCCTGCATTGACACTACCCCTGCCCAAGCTCCGCACGCTCTGAGCAAGAGCGAAAGCAGCCAAAGGGGCGCGAGATTTTGATCTGACCTTGCAGAAGGACATACAAGTCAAGGCCGAGGTCTCCTTTTGGAGACATAGATGGCATTGGCAAATGATAATGAAACTGAATCTATTTTGAATCAAGACGCCCTAAAATTGACACACATATGGACATCAACTCTTTTAAATCAGAAACGGAGAGAAACCATTCCTGGCCCTCCATTTGCAGGTGCGCTGTTTAGTGGGCACCCAAGCAATCTTCGACAGTGCCGTGACCGAAGGGATGCCTTCAGCCTTCAGCCTGAGAGATCCTTTATTTTTTTTCTCCCATGCGTGTTTTCAGCAATCATGTAAGTTCCGCAAATCTAAATGGCCATGCCCATCCTGGCCAGCATTTGGAACTGTGGCGAAGACGAGTGAAAAGACAGCGAGCCATCCATCTCCACAGCATTCATTTGAAGAACTGGGCGTCTATGAAGACCGATCCCCCACGGTGCCACGGAAAACGGATCGTGCCAAAACCACGCACTCCCGCAATGCTGCTGCAGTCAACCGCCTTTTGTCTTCCGTCCGTCTTTGGCCCAGTCTGCGCCGCAGTGCGTCGCCTCAGATGACTTCTAGTTGCTCAAGGTGAATCACATTGAATAACCGTAAGATGGAACATTGGAGAGATGCAGAGCAGGTGGAGCATCCAGCTAAACCGCATTTAAGGATTTGTGTTGTCGAAGGGGACGGCCCAAGGCACTGCAGATTCGGGAAACAAACAGAGGACAACAAACTATTCGATGGAAACTGAAACCCATGTCATCTACTCAACATGCATCTTCGGTTGAATCCTCCCCTTCCTAGAATTGCTTTATTCACTGATTGTTGGGAAACAACAATGTTACAATTTTGATGACTCATGACCACGCGGACAGCAGAAGTCAGGCCACAAGCAAACAGTGTCCTGGCACGAACCCTCAAGACAAGATGAGCGTTGTTTGCATTGCCAACTGCAGGCTGTGGGAAGGCAGCGAGCAGGCGCGAAGACTACTGTAGGAAAACACCTCCGTCTGCTGCGTGGCGTACTTTTACCGCCTGGGGCACAAAACGTTTGTTTCCGTTGGGCCGCGGCCAAATCAATGCTTGAAGTGGCATGTGCTAGATGTTTTAGTGTCAACTTGTGAATGTGTGAATGTGCTGCAGCCAATCGCAACTTGAACGGATCTTCCACAGTAACTTCTTTCATGCCATCTGGGTTTGATTGAACCACACCCCATTGCCATTGGCCCCCGCAAATGAAGGGTTTCGCCCATCGCATGACGAGCGCCAGACCATATCCCCGTAAATAGGAGTGGAGACTCGAACCTAAGGGTACCTCAAATCCGGCTGGTGAGGTGAGCTCGGTTTAAACCATGCCGAACGATGTTGTAGGGTAAAGGTCAAGGGTCAGGGAGGGGACGGGCTGTTCACTCACGAAAGAAAAGGTTGAAAGGCCCGGCCACGCTGATGCTTCCTGGGTCCCATTCAATGGTTCAATTTGAGGAAGTATATCCATTCACTTCCAGCATCACATTAGAGCGCTAAATGCGGGGGTCTCTCTCTAATCTTTCCCTTTTCGTACCAACCCCAGGGCGCATGCTTTTGGACAAGTCATGTTGAAGACCCAGAGGAGACATGTAGTTGGAGCCCTGCCAATCGGGGTATTTGCTTGAGGCATACACACTGCCTATGGATCGCTTTGAAATTGCTCTGCCAGTACACAACAGGCCGCCGGGCTGCAGAAACAAACCAAGATGGCTATCGAAAGGTCGCATCCCACTGTTGGTGTTTCCTAACACTCATCCGATCTCAGCTCTTGCTGCCGTACAAACGTACAAGGCTGACAATCCCCACTTGCAGCTGGACACAGGGATCTGGAAATAACATAACGGCCTTTCCACGTCAGGGCAGCAAAGGGTCAATTCGTGGATTCGCCTTGAACCACTGAGAATAACAAGCTCTGCTCTTTTAGGCCAACTAAACTTGTGCTTGTGATTCTGGTCAGTACATAGCGAACATCAAAGTCAGAGCAATCACCCTATCAAGAAGGTGCGGCCTGTGCTTGGTTGGTACATACTCGGTTAACCAAAAAAAGTAGAATAAGGTCAGCAAAGATTCACAATTGGGCTCCGTGAGCAGCCACGCTCTCGCTCGCGCCATTCATTTTACATCTGAAGTGAAGGGAGAAACACATCTGATGGCGGGGCAGTCGGACGGCATCTCAAAGCAAGACACATTAGTCTTTGCTGCGCTCGCCAAGCCTTTAGAAGGGGTGAGATGTCCCTATATCACAAAAGATGGTGCACATGCAGATATGTGAGGTATATCAGACCCCGCGATAATGCGCCAACCTTGCCTTGCCCACCCTTGGTATGACTCCAAGCAAGTGTTGGAAGACAAGCGCGCTCTACAAGTACACGCGTAGACACGCACACACACACACACACATGCACTGGCTCGGGATAAAACTGGAAGGTTTTGCCTCTAAGCTTCCTGGTGGCAATACTTCAGCGCGACCTTCCGACCCAGTCAGCAACCAGGTGCTATTTTCCAGCCTGACCTCGGATTGCAAGCCTCGTTGTAACCCACAGCTTTCTAACGAAGTGGAGAAACACCACTTCGAAAGTTGGAAGCTATGAAGGCTGAAAAGAAGCAGCAGGAGGAGCAAGCAAAGAAGGACGGCTCGGGGCTAAGATATAGGGCCACTATCCGTTTGTGTCCCAGCCGTTTATTCACGCATCTATCTATCTACCTGTCTATCTATCTATTTATCTATCTAGCGATGTCTTCTCTATCGCTCGATCTATCCATTCATCAATCTGCCTACCTACCTATCTAGCTCTGTGTCCGTTTATCTGCTGTTCTTCCAATCTACCCATCTATCAAACAGTGTGTCGTTCTACCACCAATCTATTTGTTGTCTATCTCTCTATCCATTTGTCTATCTATCCATCCATCTGTCTTTGTTGCATACCAGCGCTCGTCATCCAAAGTGCTGCGCCTGTCACGAAAGTCAACGTGCGAGCCGAAAGCATCGCGCCAGCCACAAAATCATACAAAGCGCCGTGTCTGCCGCCACAAAACCTGCGCATGACTCTCCAAAGCACTGCGCGTGTCACCCAAATCAGCGCTCCGGTGAGACGTCCTCCCAAGTACTGCGCCTGCCACGAAACTCATCACAGCGCTCTGAGCGCTGTGCTTGCGCCTGCCGCGAAATCTGCGCACCGCGGAATCTGTGACTGCGCCTGCTACGACAGCTGTACGCTCCGGAGCTTCGAAGACCATGCGGGATTCCTGAGAAGACGGGCTTGTCAGAGGCCAAGCGCAGTTCCGGGTTGGAAGGAGAAGTTCAGCCACTAGCTTGCTTGCAAGCCTGCGCAAAAAAAGAGAGGCGCACTTTGGAGGCGTCATCTGCAAACGTTCTCTGAGTGAATTCAGCCATCAGTTTCAGAAGCCTCGCGCAATTGCTTGGGCGACAGACTTAGGCCATCAGTATTCTTAGAGCACGACGCGGAATTTCTGCGGAGGAAGCTCAAACATAAATGCTCTTTAGCAAGGCTGGCCCGAAAAACACGCCCAGGCCACTGAGCTGGGAAACAAGCACCCGACTCACTCTTTCAAAGCAGAGTCAAGCCCCCCGCAGTTTAAAAACAGCTTCTGGCAGCCTGATTTGCCAGCGTGTTTCTTGACGCAAGCATACATGCGTTTGCTGGAGCTCATGATATGCGAAACGGCTCTAGTTTGACTGTTGCTCAAGTCGAAGGAAGGCTGGATAAGATGCCCCCATGAGGGGCAAAAGTCTTTTGGACATCAAAACATATTGGACATCAAAACACAATGCGCGCTTGCCTAAAAGAACCAACACACCTGAAAGGACCTGGAAACGAGATTCACGTTGTAGGACGTGGACAAATGGGCTCAGGGAGAATCTTGCACTCTTTACCTCCTGGCGATGTGCTTACAAAGCGACATGATGGCGACATGGGTTGAAAGGTGCGAGTTGGCAGCGTCCTGCCCGTGTGTTAGGTCTGAAAATTTAGGGGCCACGCAAATGGTTTGCCCCCTGGTTTCCCGTCAACCTTGCCCCAACAAGAATACCACTATGTTCTTGTACAATATGAATAAATCATGCGATACAATACGACTCATGTGTTGAAGTGTTTCTAGTGAGTTACCATGGTTTCCAGGTTACAGCATTCTTGCTGCGGAATCGTGCCAGGGTATCATTTGTTGCGAGCCCCTATATCGCTTTCCAAGTAAGACTGTAGTAAGACAGTAACATGATACCCCCAATGTGCTTCATGAACATCCTAACCCCGTCTCATGTACACACAAGGACCATTGCTCCATTTAGGCTCAAGCACTGAGATGCCATCACGCCGCCCATCCAGCACGCTTTCTTCGGTCGCTTATTGAGAGGCACGCCGAAATGGCAGAACACAGCTTAGAGTCCTTTGATTTCCCTTTCCAAAGAACGCAACAAACGTTCCGACCCCATTGTCGGCTCCGCACCTAGTGTCACTTCTGTTGGAGCCTCCCCTCTGGCGTTCACGCTTGAAACATACTAAAAATAACATCTCTAACCATTTTGTTGAATTCTTTCAGAACCTCTTTCCGCAT